GCAGTAGCTTACTGGCATGGACAGGTAAAAATTTCCTTGAAAAAAACAGCTTGCTTTTTTTTCCTCAGATGGGACTAGTGTATGCATTACTTGGGCATTTATACATGCAGCCTCCCCAGTTTTATTTAGGTGTTACTTTAATACAAAGTTGAAACAAATGAAATTATTCAGAGATTAAGTGCTTTACTCAGTAATCCAGCAAAAGGATGCCTTCTGCCGCATTCTCTGCTGGTTCTGAATAAGAAGTAGCTGGTGTCCAGGTTACTTCTTATTCCTTTCATTTTTTTGGAATTGCAGAGCAATTAAATATTTGCAAAACTCAAGCCACACGCTTCTGTTTTGATGTGTTGCAAATTTCCGCAAAAATTCTTCAACTGCAGATGCAATTTCATTTGTGAACCATTCAAAGAATGCTAGTTCAAGGACTGCTGCTGTGGGCTTACTGCATGATACCCTTTGTTACATTTAAGCATAATTTGTCACTGGCATGCTGTGAGCTGGATTAAGTGATCTATTTTGAATTTAAAAGCATAGAACTTGTCAGAGCTCCAGGTCAGCAGAGGTCTTCTGTGCATATGCAGCATTTTTCCATCTCCTTTCCTTATTTTTTTCAACAGTCCTTGTGCACTAGAAAATCTGGGCATTATGCAGTGGATGTTAGTAACAGAGTTACAATGCAAATGAGATGTGGATGTGCTTGTCGATTAATATTCTCAATGGTCTGGTGAACTATGCTGTTGCCCTTCATCTCATCATTTCTGCATAGGACTGGATTTTAGTTCAGTTTGCAGTCTGGAAGGCATTTAGAGTCCTTGTGCAATGAGAGGTAGAAATGAATACAAGTTCTGACATCCCCGGAATTTTTCCTCAACTGTTAGCTGGCTAAAAGTCTCACAATGGGAGAAGGTTGACCCCTGTTTTCCTATGGCAGGGGCTGTTGTAAGACTTCTGATTCATAAATACAGAGGAAATCACAGAATTGTCAGTGTTGGAAGAGACATCTGGAGATCATCAAATCCAACTCCCAGCCCACATGTTTGCTTCTTTGCACAACACATTTCAGTGGAAAGGCTGTTCAACTTGAAGTCAAGAAACCTGAATTATGCTCTTGGCTCTGCTGACAGTTTTGGCCCTGGGTATTCTTCAAGAAAGCGTAGCTTTGCTAACTGGGATGAAAATTCACAGTGAAATAGTGCTGAGCACAGTGTCAAGTGATGACTGTGGGTGTTGTTGTTGTCATGCCAGATACAAACTGTTCCCAAAGGAAGTAAAACAAAAAAAACCTTAATTATTGCCTAGTAAACAATTCTCATGTGATGGTTTTAAAAGTTTTTGTGCAACTCAAGAAGTAAAGTTTGGTCTTTGGATGCCTGGAATAGGCATGTTGTACTTGTATAGCATTTGCTCATACTGTTGTAGATAGAATTTACAAACTATACGAAGTGATTAGTGTAACTTCTAAGTGAAATATGATTAAGAGAAGTTTTTCATTATGTAATCTCTTTTGCATTAAAACCAGTACTGTGTGTGTTTCTGTGTAATGACATTCAACTCACCACGTCTATGAGGAACAAATGATTAGAAATGTTATGCTGAATTTATATTTTCTTTAACTAGGTCTTTTTAGATAACCCTGATCTTTAGATTACTGCTTCTAAATGCATTTTGGGGAAAAAAAAAGTTTCTCACATGAGCCCTAGTATCCTGGGTCTTCCATTTTCCCTGTCTTGACAAAGGGGGTCATATTTCCCTCCTAGATCCTAAGCAAAGATCTGCTATACGATACACAAATACTTCATGAAAGCACATCTACAGAGAGGAAGAGATCAAAACAGACAATGCTAGGTGTAAAACTTCTGACTAGCTTTTCTGCTGGGGAGACTATGCTGAGGTAAGGAAGCTGGTTCTTCACCAGAGTGGAGGGGTTGAACTGGATGATCTTTAAGATCCATTTTAACCCAAACCATTCTATGATATGATATGATATGTGCTCTAGAAGTGGGAAGCTTCAATCAGAGGCTGGTGTTGGTGTGCTTTTCCTGGACCCCCTTGGTGCAGGTTGAATGGAGTTCACCCTTGGCAAGTCAGCACTGAAGGTGCCAGCCTGTTTTCATTCTAGTTCTGGCTAGTGCAGAGATGAGGTGACAGTCAAAACACAGGATGTTGTATTCCAACTTGATTCTAAATGGAAAAACCTAAAAAAAAAAAAACCACCTCAAAACAAACAAAAAACCCCGCCCCCCCCCCCCCCACCCCAAGCTTCCACATTTTCTATTGCCTTCTGAATTCTTACTCTTCCAACAGTTAAATTTGTTCCACTGATGAAAAAGGTTTTGGTTAGTATTGTGTACTGATCTTGGCGTGTGTTCCTATCTGTTCACAGCCTGTGAAACTTGAGTAAAGTCCAGGGGAAAAGTTCACTTAAGGCTTATTAAATTTCACAGCATTCATGCAGCACAGCTGGAACTGATAGCTTCACCTATTTTTCAGTAAAGTCATCTGTCTGGCTGTGTGATTAGCTTGTCATTCTTACACATAACTTACTAAAAGTGTAAAGGCAGAGGGAGTATCTCTTATTTGTAGCTGTCGTAATTTTTCTCTTTCCCTTTTTATTGCTGGAGCGAAGTCCACAGTTTCACAAGTGTGTAATTTTACATGTGCAGTTGAAGGGGTTACTCAGATGTGTATGGTTATTTCTGCATAAGCACTTCCTGGATTCAGCAGTTAAATTAATAAGATTTGCTGTTTGATAGAGGCTGCTAAACCACAGTGTTACTCAAGATAATAAGAGTCAAATGATAATTTCTACTATAAAATATTATAGCCAGCATATGAATTTTCAAATAATCTGCACTGTGCTTTTGAAGCCTTTTTTTTTTCTCTTAAGTTTCAAGTAGGTTCCTGGCAGGGTGAACCCATATGTGCTACGTATCAATCCGTTTCTGACACTGATTTTTTTTTTTAACAGAAGATTATAGTATTGCTTTTTCCTGGAGTCTCTTAAAAGTGAGAGTTAAACTCCCAGTAGCTTTCTCTACTGTGGTTTTGATGTGTTTCTGTGTGAAACTGAGGGCAGGATTTGTTTGAGTATGTAGGCCACTATTGTATTAGAATTACATAACCGGGTTGAGTGGTGGAAACATGAAAAGGCGGGGATGTACGGCGTCCCCTCACAGATTATATCCTGCAACAATGAAGACAGCTCAAGCTCTGCAGAGAATGTGGTCACATGCAATCAAAAAGTTGGGGATTTTGAAAGGGCACGTGAGTTGCTTTTTGTTGCATGTTGCTCCAAGTCTTCTCCCTCTCCCCCTCGTAAACCTCTCCCTTCTCCAACTCACTTCTATAGCAAGATAACTGTTGTGGCAGATCTTCTGCTTTTGTTGTTTGAGTGTGAATGAAGTTGTCTTTGGTGACCCATGGTATCAAGTAATTGCATAAATCTCTGATGACTGTCAGAGTTGCAACAGCTGCAGGTTCATAGCAGACAGATGATTTTAGCACTTTGACTAGTTTCCTGCCAAAGATTCTGTTAAGCAGTTTATTTTGGGTATGTAGAAAGCACCTGTCATTTTGGTATATGAGCATTAGGCAGATTTAAGTAAATCCTGACTACAGTGTTCTAATTAGAAATAGACTGACTTTAGTCACTAATGAATTTTGACTAATTCTAGTAATTTGCATTTACTGCAGGTAGCTTGGTATCTGTGTGAAACCTGGGTAGACTTGCAAGACAGTTACTAGTACCAACTGGAGGTGGGGCTCGTAACCATTTTGCCTGCCTTTCTCTCTCCAGTGTTTTGGTGTGCAGTCTCGCAGTGAAATTGTGATCTTATAAAGGGATGCACAGGCTGCTCAGAACCCCTTTGTGTTTCCTTACAGGTGAAGTATGAAGAAATTGGCAAGGTGATGGAGGTTTTTTGTGACCCATCACTTGATGCATTCAGATGAGAGTCGTATTACTAGATGTGAAATACAGAAATACCGTGATTGTGTTGAAGACTTAAACCTTAGCTATGATTGAGTCCTCAACGGATGATTTGTAACATTTGTAGTCTCTTACTCCCTCTCAATCTTCTCCATTAATCTGGCAGTATGGGTTAGCATTGTGGCAATGGCAAGCAGAAATACGTTTTATAATGTTAAAGAGATTATTGCTTAGAGATTTGAGGGACTACAGACGTGTTTTCTGCCTTATGGGCTTCCAAGGTGACCATTTAGTTCTCTGAACTATGTTACAGCGCCTGCATAGCTTTTATCAGTATGGCAGAGCTAGTGCTGTTGTTTTGGTAATTCTGTTTGCACAAGATCAGCTTTGCAAGTACGTTGTGTACTTCACTAATACAGCATACAGCAAATCGGAGAGTTTCCCCAGTAGCAGTTTCTGAAAATGTGTTAGTTTAACAATCCCTTATGAATTTAAAAGCAAATTAATTAATTAACTTTTGTTTAATGGTAACAGTTTCAAGCTAAAAATAAACCCCCAAAATTTACATCTAAAGTGTCTGAGGTAGTCACTAAGAAACTTTTTCTAGGCGCAGGTGAGATGAAACTACAGGCTCAACATCTTGCAAAATCTTAATTGTAGTGTCTGTAGAGAGTAGTTACTGCTTATTCTACTAGATACCAAGAGACTTACTTGTCTGAGCAGAATAAGCCTGTTAGTTTATGATGCTTTGATTTACTCAATGATGCGTCTCTCAAATTGTGCAGAAGGTATTACTTGTGCTGCTTCTCATGGCAGGCCTAGTTTTCTGGAAGGAAAATTTCTGTGAACTTACCTCTTTCATACCCTTAAAACTGTCTCTGACATTTTTACTGTGCTTTTCTCAGTCCTTTTTCTGCAGTATTGACTGCAGCAGTATTGACTACTTGTTCAGTGCAGTATTGTACTGAACAAGTAGTCATTTCTCAGGCCTTTCAGTAGGTAGCATATTGAAAGACCTGATGTTAGAGTTCGTGGAAGAGTAAGGCAACTATGCTGCTCTTTGTCCCCACAGGTAGTAAGCTCTGGTCGATTGCATCCTGCCTGCCTTGCTATTTTGCCTGCACAGGGCTGGACTGAGTATTCTAGGCTGGGAGGTAGTGTTGGTAAGAACTGCATACAGTACAAACTGAATATAAGTGATGTTCTTGTTACACATGTAAGTTTTTGAGGCTTTTATGCAGAGAGAAAGATGGAAAAGATTTTCCATTTCCCCTGCTTCTACAAAATTTGATTCCACCTGCTTGTCCTTCAGATTTTACCCATCATTTGATGCTGTCTTTCATTTCTAAAACTTTCTTCAGTTAAGTCAACTGGAACTTAAAAAGGCACTGAGGCCCTTCCTTAGCACAGACTGGTTTTCTGCAGAGCTTAAATATATCATATAGAAGAGCCAGGACAGTGATGGTGGAGCTAAGGGTCACTAGTAAGTAAACTGTTTACACGTTTTCATACAAGCCAGACAAGCATTCTATTTATGGCAGCGTAACAATGGCTCAGAAAAAGTGCTTAGTTAAGGAGAAAATCTTTACTTTTGGAAAGTTCTTTCTGTAAGGGAATATATTTAGTGAAACTTGTCAGCAAGTTGAAGGGTCAGACATGTCAACTGGTTAAATGGGAATATCGGATAAAATAACTTCATCATGTGCTTCAGCAGAGTAATTCCCTGACCTAAGACATACTAATATAATAATAACACTAACAATTATAAATGTGACTCATTCTTGCCTGGTCTAGACAAGTAGAAATTTAGAAATACTTCTGTTATTTCTAATGCAAGTCATCCTCTGCTCCAGCTATTTTTAATGAATTTCAGTAACATCCAGAAGGTTCTGGAAACTGGAGAGCATTGTGCATTTTCTGAGAGAACAGTGGAAATTTAACACAGTTCAGTGTTATAAAATTCTTGAAGAATGCTGAATATCTTGCATATTCCCTCAGAAATTCTGACCAGGACTTGTGTTTTAAGTTTGTTTTTTAATACAGTGAATGTGCAATGGAAAATGTAAATCTGGTTCCTCTTTGGGGTGCTCGGAATCCACTGAAGAATACACTGTAGGGTTCTTTTCATTCCAGTGATGATGTCCATAGCTTGCTAAACTGTTCTGTACTTCCAGAAGACTTAAAGTACAGGCATACCCTTCTTGTGCCCCTTCTCTGTCTATTGTTTTGGAGTTTAGTTGCCAATAATTCCTTTAATGCCTTTAAAAAGACTGTTTAAGTAAAAACTGAGCTTCTGTCTGAACTTCAGTTTTTCAAGAAAATTCTTAACAAATTCCTGAAAGAGATCACCACTTTTCGCAGTAAAACCAGATAACCCTATAGCATGTACGTACTCATGTAATTCTTGGATTTTTTTCCTGCAATGGATGCTTTGGATTTTGAAATAAACATCTAGAGGGGCAAGTAAAAATGGTTGCAAATATTTACAGATTTGTAAAAACTAATTAGAAATGGGCAAAAATAGGGTTAGAAATGCTCAGAAATTGTTTAGAAATAGCCAGAAACACCTTAAAACCTCCAAGAAATGGGCAAATCTGGGTTAGAAATGGCCAAGACTGGGTTTAAAATAGCCGACAATGGCTTCAAACAGGTTAGAAGGAGGTAAAAATGGGTTAGAAATAGTAAAAATGGCTTAAAACAAGTTAGAAATGGGCAAAACAGGGTTACAAATAGTCAAGGAAGTGTTAACAAAGAACAGAGGTATGCAAAAAAGGGTTAAAATTTGCCAAAAATGGCTTAAAATGTTTTAGTAATGTCAAAACTGGGTTGGAAATGGCCAAAAATGGCTTTGAAAGTTTTACACAGAGGACAAAATTGGATAGAAATGGCAAAAAAGTTTAGAAATAGCCAATTCATGGCTTCAAACATCTTAGGGGCAAGTAAAAATGGGTTGCAAATATTTACAAATTTGTAAAAACTAATCAGAAATGGGCAAATCTAGGTTAGAAATGGTCAGAAATTGTTTAGAAATAGCCAGAAACACCTTAAAACCTCCAAGAAATGGGCAAAACTTGGTTAGAAATGGCCAAGACTGGGTTTAGAAATAGCCAACAATGGCTTCAAACAGGTTAGAAGGAGGTAAAAATGGGTTGGAAATAGTAAAAATGGCTTAAAACAAGTTAGAAATGGGCAAAACAGGGTTACAAATAGAAAAAGAAAGTGTTAACAAAGAACAGAGGTATGCAAAAAAGGGTTAAAATTTGCCAAAAATGGCTTAAAATGTTTTAGTAATGTCAAAACTGGGTTGGAAATGGCCAAAAATGGCTTTGAAAGTTTTACACAGAGGACAAAATTGGATAGAAATGGCAAAAAAGTTTAGAAATATCCAATTCATGGCTTAAAACAGCTTAGACGGAAGAAAAAATGGGTTGCAAATATTTACAAATTTGTAAAAACTAATTAGAAATGGGCAAATCTAGGTTCGAAATGGTCAGAAATTGTTTAGAAATAGCCAGAAACAGCTTAAAACTTCCTAGAAATGGGCAAAACTGGGTTAGAAATGGCCAAGACTGGGTTTAGAAATAGCCAACAATGGCTTCAAACAGGTTAGAAGGAGGTAAAAATGGGTTAGAAATAGTAAAAATGGCTTAAAACAAGTTAGAAATGGGCAAAAGAGGGTTACAAATAGTCAAGGAAGTGTTAACAAAGAATAGATGTATGCAAAGATGGGTTAAAATTTGCCAGAAATGGCTTAAAATGTTTTAGAATGTCAAAACTGGGTTGGAAATGGCCAAAAATGGCTTTGAAAGTTTTACACAGAGGACAAAATTGGATAGAAATGGCAAAAAAGTTTAGAAATAGCCAATTCATGGCTTCAAACACCTTAGGGGCAAGTAAAAATGGATTGCAAATATTTACAAATTTGTAAAAACTAATCAGAAATGGGCAAATCTAGGTTAGAAATGCTCAGAAATTGTTTAGAAATAGCCAGAAACACCTTAAAACCTCCAAGAAATGGGCAAAACTGGGTTAGAAATGGCCAAGACTGGGTTTAGAAATAGCCAACAATGGCTTCAAACAGGTTAGAAGGAGGTAAAAATGGGTTAGAAATAGTAAAAATGGCTTAAAACAAGTTAGAAATGGGCAAAAGAGGGTTACAAATAGTCAAGGAAGTGTTAACAAAGAACAGAGGTATGCAAAAAAGGGTTAAAATTTGCCAAAAATGGCTTAAAATGTTTTAGTAATGTCAAAACTGGGTTGGAAATGGCCAAAAATGGCTTTGAAAGTTTTACACAGAGGACAAAATTGGATAGAAATGGCAAAAAAGTTTAGAAATAGCCAATTCATGGCTTCAAACATCTTAGGGGCAAGTAAAAATGGGTTGCAAATATTTACAGATTTGTAAAAACTAATTAGAAATGGGCAAATCTAGGTTAGAAATGGTCAGAAATTGTTTAGAAATAGCCAGAAACACCTTAAAACCTCCTAGAAATGGGCAAAACTGGGTTAGAAATGGCCAAGACTGGGTTTAGAAATAGCCAACAATGGCTTCAAACAGGTTAGAAGGAGGTAAAAATGGGTTAGAAATAGTAAAAATGGCTTAAAACAAGTTAGAAATGGGCAAAAGAGGGTTACAAATAGTCAAGGAAGTGTTAACAAAGAACAGAGGTATGCAAAAAAGGGTTAAAATTTGCCAAAAATGGCTTAAAATGTTTTAGTAATGTCAAAACTGGGTTGGAAATGGCCAAAAATGGCTTTGAAAGTTTTACACAGAGGACAAAATTGGATAGAAATGGCAAAAAAGTTTAGAAATAGCCAATTCATGGCTTAAAACAGCTTAGAAGGAAGAAAAAATGGGTTGCAAATATTTACAAATGTGTAAAAACTAATTAGAAATGGGCAAATTTAGGTTAGAAATGGTCAGAAATTGTTTAGAAATAGCCAGAAACAGCTTAAAACTTCCTAGAAATGG